GCAAAAATGGCAAAAATGTAAAAATCATATTTCATCTGTATCTCATCGAAAACAGGGTCGAATCCTAAAAAACTTATTACCAAAATGATCAGCGAAAAAAGCTCTACAAACACTGAAAGTTTTATTGAATTTGGAAGAGGTCGCTGTATGGATCTGGCGACTTCCCATGGACATACCCCATCTATATTTAATTAATAAAAAACAAATAAGCTGAGAACGTTTTTTTGAGAGATTTTATATTAGATTGATTGTAGAATTTTTGGTGCGATAAATTGATATACATGAAAAAAAGAACAATTTTTTATTGATCTAAAGATACACCAATAAATATATATTTCAAATTCTTTTTTCTGAAACACTTCTTCTCATAATCTTCTTTATTCCTGAAATAAAGTTAAACAAGTAGAAAAAGAATTTCAACGAATAGAACTTTTTCTTTGTTATATTTATTTTTATTATTACTTTTTGTCTTATCTTGATGAGTTGGGAAGGTAAGATATTAATGTCGCCATTTTCCCATCACCAAGATATTATTCATATATCATGTAAAAAGTCAAACACTAGCAACTCTTTATATACACTATATTTGTCGAAATTTTTTAAAATAAAATTATTTTTTGAAATTTTGAAATATGTGCATCAGCAATAAATTTTTCATCTTACAATTTTATCATTCACAAACAAATTCGTTAATGAAAAATAAGAAATTAAATTGAAACAATTGATGACACAAAATAGAAATAACATCTCGATACTCCCTTCTTTCGTAACTGTTGAAATACGAAATAAAAAGCATGTGCTGCTGAGGGTGTGAATGTGGGTGTGAGTGATTGAAGAAGAATAACCGACACCCCACCCACACTCTCCATCATCAAATCGATGGATTATTGGTGGAGTACATATCGATCGTTTTAATTCTGATACTGTTCATAGTCAACATGATAAACGTACTTGTGAAGCATATTATCCAGCATCCTGGACTAGTGAAAAATCAAATTTTTATCAACTTGAAGTTTTTCAACCAATACATTTCGATTCATTGTTAGACATCGATGAAAAAAGAATAGTGACGGCTGAAGAAAAGAAAAAAAAAATTTTACCACTTGAATTCATGTTTTTCTTGTTGCATTTGCAAACACAAGAACAATATTCAGTTTCTGATAATGAAGGTTCGACTTTCACCATAATTCCTTCTTAAAAAAAAAAAGAGAAAAATATACAAAAAAAAAATCGATTATCTCATTTAGTTTTTACCCGAACGGTTATTTGATTCTGTTGTTTGATTAATTTGTTGGAAAATATTTTGTAGTTCATCAATTGAATTACTGGATACATCAAGAGTTTTTTTTGTTGGTTCAATTAAGTTTTGTTCGCATTTGATAATCAATAGTTTTTCTATAACAATTAGTCTAAGTGTATTTACAACTGTATTTACTTCATTACGAAAACTATCTAATTGTCGTTTATTTTGTTTTGTTATTTGAACATGTTCATTCAAATGATATAAACAAACCAGATGTAAACAACAATGACATTCATATAATTCTTTGATTTCATTATCATATGTTATATCAGTACACGGATCTTTCTCAGGCATTTCTGAAAAACAAAGAAATATGAATATTTATATCCACAGCATTCTTTGAGATATATATGATGCCTATCACGATTGACGAAATGTTTGAAATAATTAACTGACTAACAAACACATAAATAGGAAAGAAAACAAAGAATCCAGGATATAATATTAGCATTCTTTATTTTGTCGAATAATATAGTATGCCTACTAATTAGTTTGTCTTCTGTTCTGTATTAAAAGACATATGAAAGAATTATTTTATATATTTCTAACTTGATTTCATTTTTCATGTGTTCAAATAGTATGAAACTATTTTATCTTTTTATCATACTCATTTACTCACTTATATTCTAAATAACAGAAGTCCCTTAGAAATGTCAAAACATAAAATTATTACAAACTTTTATCTAACTTTTTGTATTAATCGCAAACTTCTCAGTTTTGACTTAAATAAATCCGTGAATTTCGGCAAAAACTATTTACAGTCTACACTTCTGACATATATATAATATTGACTTTCTTCATTTTAATTCTATAAAATCAATGGTAAAATTTTTATTCAGTGAGTTCTTTCGATAATTTTAGGCCTTCCCCCCCCCCCCCCCCCTCTCAAAAATCAATCTCAGCCTAGGAACGTTCAAATGGACTGAAATTTGGAGCATAGGTTGGGGCTGAACTGAGGAGGCTGTGGTAAAATTTTCAGCTCGATATACTGACGTTTGACAGAGATATGAACCAAACAAGGGTGAAAAATAGCTCATTTGGCAACCCATTTTTCTCCGTCCGGGCTCTTTCAATATATTTAAATTCTTTTTTTGTTTGAAAGAGCATCTCAAGATGCACGGCATGACGAGGTCCGTTTTTTCAAATACGGACTTTTTACGTGTAAAAAAGGGATCACAAGTTCCATGACTCAAAAAACCCTCTAAAAATGGGCGCCAGTTTACATAAGTGATTGTATATATAATAAAAATTAAGCTTAATTGAAAAAAAGGGCCTCATCACGCCCTGCACCTTGACGTGCTCTTTCCAACAAAAAAAAATATAAATATATTGACTGAGCCTGGACAGAGAAATTTGGGATGCGCGATCGAAAAAGCATAAACTGAGAAAAAACGAAAAACATTTTTTGAAAAAAAAATTTACGATATTTTAGCATTTGTAGGCACTTTTTCGATAAATTTGAATAAAATAATTACCAACTCTCCTATATCTTTTATAACTATGCACAAATAACCTTCATTTAGCGCTTGTTGAGCTTCACTAAATAAATCATTTTATTATCCAGGACATCAACATAATGGGCTTATTCGAAAATGTTCTAATAAAATTAACTGTGAGTTATCTCAGTCCTCTTTTTATCGTAACAACTGGCGCATTGTTATGATATATATCAATCACATTAGATCACGTCGCTTTTGATGTTTTTTTTATCTTTCTCTTCTTTATTCTTTGTTATTCTATGCTCGTTTTCTCTGATATCTGGCAGTCTTCTAAACATTGTTAGCTGGTGACGTCATTTGCACTTCGTCCCTTTCTTTCGGTCATTATTCTGACGTCATCATTTGTACATTATCTCGTTCTTTTCTGTCATTGCCATGACGTCATGTATATCTATTCTATCTATATCTTCTTTCAATCTGTTGTTATACGTGAGTGCATCCCATTAAAGTGCTTATTTTTCCTGCAAAAACCTCAAAATCCATTTTTTCCAAAAAAAAATCATGTTTTTCACGCAGCCGATTACAGAAATCATCAAAATTTTCAGACAAAAAAAGGGATATTGGATAAAAAAAACATATCAAATCTGAAAGATCTGAAGACGGGCTATCTTCCCATACATTTATCTCAATTTCGAAATTTTTGACGAAAATTGATTTTTGTTGACGGGGGGGGGGGCCTAAGACAAGACTACCAAGGTTTAATTAATCTATTTGATTTATATTAAATGTAATTCGCGAGTGATAAAAATCGCAATGAATCATTTGTTGCTTTATTCTAAATCTAATAATATCTGTTATAAGAAACATACAACATAAGGAGGATTTTGTTTTATTGGAGAGTAATAAGCTGACCGATATTCGAGTAAGGCCACAAAGATCTCAGACAAATCGAGAGAAATAAGACTGAATTGATCAGTGGAATGGTTATATATGTTAAAACAGAGAAAAATCATCTTTTCGACCCCGAGCAGATTGTACAGTGAATCGATGTTAAAGTTGAATTAATGGATGTGATTGGCGCATGTGTGAGTTAAATGGTCCATTCTGGGCATTCATTCACTAATTTTGTTTTAATTCGTTTTGATTTTTCAGCCTGTTCAGGCATCTAAGAAATACAAGTAAAAAAATATAAAACAGAATGAAAAATGTCATCTTCTATTCAATCGTCAAACAAATTGAATCAATTCAGATTGAAATAAAAAATATAAATTAAATTTCTATCCAGTAACGCGAATTCTATTAATTAGTTCACATTGAGTTGATCTTGTCTGTTTGTTAGGGATCAAACACACTAGATGAATTAAAACTGAATTAAGCAATCAGATACGCGTTGTTATGTGGAAACACCAATCACATCGGTTAATTCAGTTTCAATTCGTCTAGTCTGTTTGATCCCTTACCTTCCATAACATACGCACATTGACGGCGTCGATATTTATTCGCTATTATTCGTTTAGACGAAAATGAGAAAATGCGAACATATATATAGAATTGCGATCAATTTGTCTGAGTCAAACATGAACAATTTAAATAAGAATCATATGAATATACTTGATTTACCTAATGAAATTTTATTTATTATTTTTCAAAAATTGAATATGATTGATGTATTTTATTCATGTATTAAGGTTAATCGACGATTTAATCGATTAGTGCTTGATTCTTTTTTTCTTCGTGATCTTAATATGACTACTATTAATGACATCAATTCATTGTACGATCAGACGTCTTCAACAGATCCAAAAGTTCTTTCAAGAATCTGTGAGAAAATATTACCTCGAATTTATGATCAAACATATAAACTTACTCTCAACGAATATTCAGCCAAATACATGTTCCTTGCTTCGAATTATTCAAAGCTATATTCATTATCACTTATCAATTTTCAGAAAGAAATACTTCATCAATATTTAACAGGTATAGAATTTAATTTTATTCACTAGAATTAAAATAATATTTGTGTTATTTTTCGTAATTAAAGATAATTTAATTCTACGTGATCTTCTAACAAATCAAATAACACATCTTAATATTGATATCAAAAACACAACAGAAAATAGATTCAAAATTGGTCCAGAAATTTTTCCAAAAATCTTATCTTTATGTAAAAATTTAACTGTTTTGAATTTTTGTGATATGTTTCCTGAACGAAATTTGGTGGTTTCTCTGGCTGATTTCTCATGGAATCATTGTATACCTTCAACTTTGATTAAATTAAGAATTCAACTCTCAACTTTAGCTGATTGTCTTCATTTGCTTGATGGACCTTTTGTTTGTTTATCAACATTAATTATTACTGTAACATTTACTTTTCATACGACAGAATACAAGAATCCAACAGCAAGTATTTACAATAATAATCATATTTATACAAAAAAACATTGAAAATAAACAATTATTTTTATGTTGTTTGGAGAAAATTCCAAAATTGAAATATTTTTCGTTAACTGCATTGAATCGCGTAGAAGATTATGATGATTTAATTGTTCCATTACTTCGTCGAATGATAAATCTTGAAGAACTAAAATTATATTTATCAGTAGATAGATCTTATTCGAATTATATTGATGGGATTCAATTATACGATCAATTTCTTATTTATATGACACAATTAAAGAATTTTACATTTTATATCAAGACAGAGATCTCCTTTATGGATGATATTAAATTTGAACTTCAATCAAACGAAGAAATTCAACATAGTTTTATTGGAAGAGGATATCCACTAGTAGCTTCATATGTTAATTCAAATCCATTTGCACTCGATGGTGCATGTTATATCTATTCACTTCCATATGATTTCGAATATTTTAAAGTCGACAATTCATTTCAAGGTGGTGCATTTCACAAAGTTCGACAATTAACAATGGTCAAGAGAATTCCTTTTACAGACAGACTATTTCAACTTATCTCTCAAGATTTTCCTTTTCTTGAAATCTTACATGTTTGTAATTGTTGGCCACAAGAAGGCAATTAACATTAATCACATTTCCACATCTTAAATTTCTTGATGTTAATGATGCGCATGTTAATTATGTTGCACGATTTCTTTTGAAAAAAAGTATGCATTTACCTCGTTTATCAAATCTTTCCATAGAATATGAGTTACTCATGTTAATAACAAATCATTTTACTAATGATCCAACATATTTTAATTTTGATAAATTCAAAAGTCTTGATGTAGGTCAGTCATTTGTTCGTCCAAAAAATTTTCATCAATATTTTCCTTTATTATAAAGTTGTTTCAATAAAAGAAAATATTTCATTTTTTTTCATTTATACTATGCAGCAATAAAGAACGCGAAGATAATGTTAGATCATATTTTGATTTGACTTCATTTTAAAATGTAATGTGAGGTAATTGGAATGTCTATTAATAAGAAATCGAATGACATGAATAGGGTGTGGGTGTGGGTGAGCGTGTCATTCTTTCATACCCACACTCACCCTCAAACCTTCACTCACATCCACATCTTCGATCAATGAAAACAAATTCAAGGAAATATTTTCTTAGTTTTAAAATTAGAAATGAAATTAGTGATGAAAAACGAATTGTTAATGATAATTTTCATCATCAAGACAGTTATTTAACGATAAGAAATATCCAACAAAAGAAAAACATATAATAAGTTATGAAGAAACAAATGAATAAACGAAGAATTAATTTTTTGATAATCATCAACCTTTAGTATGGATCATTAATAGATATAACTAAACTTTGTTCATGTATTTTCATATTCAAGTATGTATATTTTTCTTGCTGTGTATCAATCATTTCAAATTCATTTGTATTCTGGAGTGTGTGAACATAATAGTGAAAAAAGTTTATCATTCACATCTATAGCTTCAACTCATCATTGTGTTGAAGTTTTTTCGTTAGGCAATCAACAATAAAAAATTTTCATTTAAAGCATTAACTTGCAAATCTATTGATTAATAATGTATCGAAATATCATCATTTATCTTTGTTAGAATTTATTTTTTTTTCCTAGGAATTGATGTACACGATAAAAACGAAACACACGTTCTACTTTGTTCTTAAATGATGTTTTCAGAGATGAGCAGCTCCAGCCTTTCCTAGTTCCAGCTCCATACATTTTCTGGCCACTTTGCTCCGACTCCACTCTAACCAGAGTACTTTCCGCTCCAACAGAAATAAAAAGTCATTATTTCATTAGAAAACTTTGGTTGAGGGTAGCTTCTTCACAGATCACTTTTTGTATTCATTAATGACACTCAGTTTCCGTTGTAAAAGATGCAAATGGAAGAGGGAAAGGCGCAGTCAGTAATATCTGTCTGAAATTTTCTCAATCCGGCGTTGAAGCTGCACATCTCTGGATATTTTCAAGCCTGATAAATTTTTGAAGCTATAAAAAATAACAGCGATCATTTTTATGAAAGAAAAACTTTTTCACCTCAATGGTTTATCATCATCACTATTTATATTTATATCAACATCAATAGAAGCTAGACAACTGAAATTTGGTTCCGTGCCCTTAAAATAGAAGAAATGCAGTTCTTTAATCATTAAAACAAATGAATAGTTACTTCAGCTTATATCAGCAATTCATTCGTCCGTGATATCACACAAAAATTAAGTGTACAATTATTTTTTTTGAGCGAAAATTTGTATGAAGTATATTTTGAACCACATGTTTTAATTGTTAAAACCTTCTAAAAATATATATAATTGGTTTTAATAAAATAAGAAGTTTTTTAGGTTTTTCTTAAAATAATTCTCCTCCGATTAACATCCTGTTAGAACACTACCGAAAGTATTGATAAAAATAATACAAACTGAACTATTTTGGAAGTCATTTTTTCTGAATTACAAAGTAATTGATTTGCGTCATAAAGTGTTAGAGTTTCTCAATATCAATCAACTACTTAAAATGTTCTTACTATTTTATTCGTTCTAAAAATGGTTGTTGTTCAATTCCTCATATTTATTACTGGATGGATTACTATTTTGGAACATTGAGTTTGAACGATATTAAAGAAAATATTTTTGGATCTCAACTAGAAATTAGTCGTGAGGGTGAGAGACCCTCACTCTCAAGATTCTGTTAGAGGTAAATTATTTTTTGATGAAATAAAGTTGCCTGTCTTATCTGCGATATATGGAGAAAAGAACGAAACTAATAATTTAATCGGAAATCTCACGAAGTATAGGATTGAATTCAGAGACATAAAAAATAAAATGGATGTTTAGAAGAATTTGTCTTTCATATTCGAAGAAAACGAACGGAGAATTAGAAAGAAAAAAAGAAGAAGTTGATCAAGAAAATTGAATCTAATCTAGAAAAGTATCATCGTATGATAATGAAAGTACTCTGAATTAAATTTGATTTGTTCTAATAAACGAATAATAATTTCAAAATCTAAAATAAAAATCATCGATTTTTTAAAATTAAAAAATAAAATGTCATTTTACTAATATGCACCTACATTATAACATGTAGTAAACAACAAATGTCCTATTTCAAATGTGTTATTATTTTGATCGGATATGATATGAATAGCAGTTTTTGAATGATCCATCGAATTGATCGATTTTGAAAGAGTTCATTTCTTAAAATAAAATGATCATAAAA